TGAAACACCTGACTGTAAAAACACCTGGCTGTAAAAACACTTAACTGTAAAAACACCTGAGCATGAAACACCTGACTGTAAAAACACTTAACTGTAAAAACACTTAACTGTAAAAACACCTGGCTGTTGAACATCTGAGCATGAAACACCTGGCAGTAGAACACCTGGATGTGAAACACAGGTTGTAAAACACCTGGCCATTGAAACACCTGATGAAGATTTGTCTTCAAACTTCAGATGATTCAAAACAATCGATGCTCGAACAGTTTGACCCGCAGCTCTTTGAGGATCCTGTTTGTTTGTTTGTTTGTTTGTTTGTTTGTTTGTTTGTTCCTCCCCTCCCTCCCTGCTGGGATGAATAAACTCACTGTCGGTTCGCACTCTTGTTCCCGCGCGGCCTGAAAGGAGGAGAGCTCGAGCTCATCAGATGGGGCTTGTTGTAGAGAGGAGCCTGTTTCCATGGCAACCCGGGAGGCTGAACATGCTGGCGTCTTTAAAGCTGCAGGGATGATTCCCAGCAGCTCTGAGCACATCGATTCAATAAAGAAGACTTTTTATTTTTTGGACTGAACCTTCACGAACACTAAACTTGTGCAGATGTCCTCAYTGCGCATGCGCTCGGCTAATAAAAGCCCTTCCAGCTGTCCCTGCAGCAACGTTYGGTTTGAAGAGGAGATGTTTTCTCATCTGAGCAGCTCCCTCAGCAGCGTCACGCCAACGCGTAAAAAAGACCAGTGATAACGCGGGRGCGCGCAGCATCGCCGCGGCGCGCATGCACAGCTGCCAGCACCAAGGACAGCAGCCCGGGAGAACCAGAACCGAGACGCGGCGGTGGCATCAGGCCGGACCGGACTGACAACCCCGGGGAGGAGGCTGGAGGGACACTTTGGGTTTTATTTTATTTATTTTTTATCTTTTAGTGCAGGAAAAACCGGGCTGATGAAGCGGTTTGGATGTCCCCTCATCTGATCCGGCGCATTCCTCCGCACTGAGCAGCGTTTTTCTCTCTTCCTTTTCTAACCTCTCGCGCTCAACCGCCCACCTGGATCGTGTCCGCGCGCCTCCATCCGAGCCGAGCCGAGCCGCCGCCGCCGCCGCCACCGGGCAGGAGACAATCAGGGACCGAGCTGCGCCGCTGTGCCGCTCGGTGCTGCGCGCCATGCGGCTCTTTCTGCTGGCGGTGCTCTTCTCGTGCTCCTGCGCGCGGGCCGGCTGCGAGCCCAAGATCGTCAACATCGGGGCCGTCCTGAGCCAGAAGAGGTACGAGCAGGTCTTCAAGGACGCCGTGAACCAGGCCAACCTGGTCTACGGCCGGGACAAGTTCAAGCTGACCGCCATCTCGGTAACGCACAAACCCAACGCCATCCAGATGGCCCTGTCGGTGTGTGAGGACCTGATCTCCAGCCAGGTAGGGGCTTCCCACACACCGCTGCCCTGGACCACTGCAGACCACCCAACAAGTCTCAGTTAAAGGTCTTCAGACTCAAAGAAACAATGAAATGTTATCATTTTAATGAGAGAAAAGAGATCATTTTAAATTTATTGGATTCATGTTTCTCCTCTTTAAACAAAAACATTTAAACATGGAGGAGAATTCCAGTTCTGGAGGGAAATTTGGTCTAGTTCTTTTTCCTCTTTACTATAAAAAAAACACAATCCTGGGTCGTGTTGACCATATTTTGTTCCAAAACCTGATGTTTAAGCTGCTCATTCAGGCATTAATGCACCCCCATACCATCAGAGAGGCAGGGTGGACCAATGCTTGGTTCCACTACTCGTGGTTTCCGGAACAAACAGTCAAATTTCAGTTTTCCGCTTYAAAGTAAAACTTTATTCTAAAATTTTAGCAGAGTTGTAAAGTAACTAAGTACAAATACTTTGTTACTGTACTTAAGTAGAAATTTTGTTTATCTGTACTTTACTTGAGTGATTATTTTTCAGCGTACTTTTTACTTTTACTCGTTACATTTTTACACARTTATCTGTACTTTCTACTCACTACATTTTTTAAAAAGGTAAGAAGTAGAAAGTCGTTACTCCTATTTTATTTCAAGTTGTTATTACTTATAAAAATACTATCCTGATAAACTGTGTCTCCTATAGAGTGAATTTAATTGTAGTTGGATGAGAAGTATAAATATATACCATTCTGACAGTATTAGCTTGTACACAACCCATCACAGCTGCACGCYGTTAGAAAATATATTTTTTGGAGACGTCACCTCCCAATAAATGTCATTTTGGAAAATCTAACTGCTCACTTTTACTCAGTACTTTTACTACTTAAGTAGATTTCGTGTGAGAAATTTACTTTTGATACTTAAGTACAAAAAATATCAGATACTTTAAGACTTTTACTCAAGTAATATTTTTGAAGATTTTAACTTTTACCAAAGTATTTTTATGATAAGATACTTGTACTTTTACTCAAGTATCATTTTGAGGTACTTTATAMAAMACTGARTTTTAGACAGTTTTTCGTAGACTGAGGAACCTCTGCCCATCTTTACTTCTGAGTCCTGTCGACAATTAACYCAATTAGTTGTAAAAAGATAAAACTTTTTCAGTCTTTTTTTTATTTTGAGCTAGTGTTGCTCTTAAATTTTAAATTTTCTCATATTTTTTCCTGAATAAAGTACACAAAATTTAGTTTTATCCAGATTTTAACAAACAGTGATTGTCATCTGTCGATAATTAAGTGTTTTTATTGTGTAACTCTGTAAATGTATAGTTTTTGCTGCCTCTTGGCCAGGACTCTCTTGAAAAAGAGGTTTTTAATCTCAATGGGACTTAAATAAAGGAAGTAAATAAATAATATAAAATCATAAAGCTGCACGTTTTGATTCATCTGTTTCGGCGTTATAATTAGCCAAGAGGCCTGCTGCAGAACCAGGAGTGGGTCCAGGGCCTGAAAACTTGCAGAATTGTTCCTTATATCTCCATTAAGCAGACAAAGTTCTGCTGATCTGCTAATAGTGGAAGTAGCTTCTCATTTAGTGGATTCTCTTTTTTGCTAACTTTGGAAACCGTTAGCAAAACGATTAGCTTCTGTTAAATTAAGTCTCGCTAAAAAGTAAAAAAAAATCACTTGTGTTAAACTTCTTTTTTATGCCATTTATCCCGAATTAAATGAAAACCATCTCCTTTTACAAGCAGTGCTAGATGTGTGTAGCATGTAGCATCTTTAGCAGCCAAATTTCAAACTAAAAGCATCAAAAAGAAATAAAACACAATATTTAAATAACGAATACAACATTTCTACGTGTAAAATATAGCGCAAGTATTTGCTATTTTTTGTTTGACCAACTTCAAACGTTATGAAAAAACAAACTTGATCAAAGAAATGCTTTTATTCTGAAAGGGTTGAACTGGAGCTGTAGCTCTGGTTAACTCTAAGACTGTTAGCTATGTTCGCGTTATAACGCTAAGATAGCTAACTATAAAGCTATAACTTTCAATAATCTTTTAACTGTTTAGTGGTTTAGCGTTAGCAGAGCTAAGATTCGTGTTTAGCAGATTAGCGATTAGTGAAGCTAACGTTTTGGTAGCCGTGCCCACCACCTTTTTGATAAGAAGCTGTGAAGCTGGAAAAAAAAAACCCTGAATGTGTTTCAAGGATGATTTCTTTTCTTCACACATTTCTGCTGCTCGGCTTTAATTCACTAAAAACCAACTTTATATTAAATTTATGAGCAGCGGGTCGTAAACGCTGCAGAACATCCTCCTGATTTGAAGAAAACGAGGTCCCGGCACGCTGAGGCGTGAAGCTCGTCTCTTCTCTCTCTAAACACAGAAAACTGCAGCTTTCATGTCCTCCACCGCCTGTAATGGATGCAGGCTCGCAGAACAGCTCTGCCCGGTCCAATCTCACGCCAGTCGTCACAGTGAAGTCGACAGAAAGCCCGAGGAGGCGCCGATCGGATGAGATCAGCTCCTATAGGTGTTAAAAGTGAGCGAGCGGGACGTTTGTGCAGCAGATGGAGGACTTTCTGCCTGCGAGCTGTCCCTGGAAGCCAGAGCTCCATCCTGACCCGACCATACGGACCGCTCACGTCCAACAACGCAGGCTCGGACGGCCCTACTTCATCACCCCCTGTTCCTCTAATTCAACCTCCCTGTTCCTCCTCAAACCTGCTCCTTTTAAAAACCTGAAACAACCTGATCCTGCCTGGTGTTCATGTCGGTGTTTGTGGGTCAGAATAATTAATTTTTTTTATTTTTCCCTTCAACATTTCAGCTCCAGAGCAGCTGTTGAACTCGTTAAAAGACGACCGAGCTGCATTTAAAGCATCAATGAGCTTAATTCATCTTCAAACAGCTGTTTCAGCCCAGGCTGAATCAGTGCGAGCAGCTGCTGCCTTCGTTAAAAGCCTGAAAAAACATCCCAGATTCTGTCGAATTCTGCTTTCAAACAAAATATGCACTGAAATGGTTTTATCATAGCAGGTTTAACCTCGAGCCTCCAGCTTCTAACCAATCATCGTTTTGTTTTTATTTTGTTAAACAGAAACAACAACAGCTGACCATAAAAGAAAAGTCGTCTGTTCGCCAAACTTATTTAAAGTGATCCCTGTTTAGTTGTAACATTAGACTTTATTTGATAAACATTTATTTTAACTGTAAAATAAAGACTGTAAAAATACT